ATGAGAAGTCAATCACCTCTCCCTTCTCAAGAACCATGTCAGGGCGGCGACCTCGGCTACTGAATTTGACAGGTGTGGAGGAGGTGCTTCGGTCCAGGAAGCTGGCTGCCTCCTTCTGGGCTCTCCTGATGTCCTTGGCTTCTTGAGTGCGAGACCTCTTCTCCTTCAGCTCCATGGCTGACTCTACAGGATTGCGGCTCACCCGCTTCCTCAGCCCTTCCACTGTAATGATGGGATCCAGAGGTGGCTTTGAAGCTGCTAGAGAATAAATAGCTTGTTTAATCTAAAAGACAGTGACATTTTGATGCCTCTTTACTTGTCTCTTGTATCCACAAAATTTGCTTTAAAAAGAGAAGAACATCAAGGTAGCAGGGAGTAGAGAAACTGTGATAATTACAGAAAAACAATACAAACCACAAAGAACACTTGGATCATTTCAATAATAATGTGTGTTCAGGTTGAACCTCTCTAGTCTGGCACCCTCGGGACCTGACCGGTTCCAAACGAGAGAATTTTCCAGACCATGGGAGGTCAATATTGTCTAACAGCATTACCAACACTTCTACTGCTTACTGGGCTCGTAGAGGACATTTAGGAGTAAATGTGGGCCAGGACTGGTGGCTGTAAACAAACTTTATGGGACTGTGGGGAAACTTGGCCACACCCAAGATAAGAGAATATCTGGCTAACTAAAATCACGCCGGACCATGGATATTGCTGGACCAGAGGGTACTGGACTAGAGAGATTCAACCTGTATTACATAGAAAGTGTAAAATTCCATGAGCCTCTTCTCTCACTGGTATAAATCAGGAGAAACTCCTCTGAAGTCAATGCATTTACACCAGTGTAAAACACAAGCAAATGAGAGCAGAATTAAGCCCTGGAACCCCATCCACACTTGAGTCATTTAAAATAAGTGTCATCTCATACCTTTAAACACTATCAATTCTGGCCTGACTAGCACCCTGTGTGTTGTCGTCAGAAGAGTTACCTTTTGCTTTCATTGCAGATGCAGAGAGCTTCTCTGCTTCAGGTTTCATAGTAGGAGGCTTATTGTGAACAAGTTTCCACCATCCTGGTTCTCCAAATTCCTGTGCCCCCGAGCGGAAAAATAAGGGGCTCCCTACAGAAAGACAGCCGGCAACAGTGCTCCACCAAGTTGACGTCTTCTTTCTAAATCAAGAGAGAAAAAAATGAGGGACACTAAGAACACTTTAGTTGGACTTTCTTCTTCTTTACCGAAGAAACCTTAGTGAATGCTGCTGCCATTTACTCCGATGTGATGGTTCACGTGGCCTCCGGACTTGAAGCGCTTCAGCAATGCTGCTCTTTCTAAAGACTTCCATGGGTGATTTCAAGCTGGAATATGGGGCTCCAAGTTCCAAGACTCAACTTTAATAACTAGATTCTGCTTTGAAAAGTGATTCCATTTTAATACCAATTCTGCTGAGTTTTACAAGTAAAAAGAAAGGGGTTTCCCAGCTTGGAGTTCTGGTCAGGCGTTCACATCACCAACCATCAAGGAGCTACAGTTGTCTTACTCAACAGTCCTACTGATGATACAAGGGCCTGAACAGAATCCAGCTCACTCTTCAGCAGCTGTGCTAATTCAACAGTGCTAAAACGAATGAAAACTTGGTCTGCTGTTCAAGTCAGCAGCCAGGACTCAGGCTACATGGGCAAGGAGGCGAGAGAGAGGGAGAGACCTACTGAGTAAGAATGTGTCTTTTTACATCTTTCCCCTAATTTACACTCCTGACAAACCTGCTTTTGAGTTCTGCAAATGTAGCAAATGGCCACCTTGTCTGCTTATACACTTGAAAAAGGCAGCAGGGGCATGTGGCTTGAGGGCACAGTGAGAACCCATGGCGGGCTGTGGGTGGGGAAGGCAGGTGCAGCATGAAGGATGGCTGCACAATGATGCTTTGAGGAAAACAGTGGGGAGGCTCTCTCTCAACCCTGCCCTCACCCCTCTCTGCTCCTGATGAATGTGCCACTTCCAGATGCAACGGCAGCCAACTCCACTGGGTTCTGAAGCGGCGCTCCCCTGGGAGCTGGGCAAGGGGGAAGAAGGGAGACGTGGTGGGGGCAAAGAACAGGGAGGAGGAAGGAGTGTAACTTCCCCTTCTTTTGCTTTGCTTCCATTATTTGCTATTAGCACGAATGGCATTTTTAAACTGCTTTTGTTTCCTCACGTGTGCAGTGTGTGCCTGGGCCTACCCATTTGGGCTTCAGGCATTGTCACGTCCTTGGTTCCCCCTTCTTTCCCTGTGAAACCAACCTCAACTTGTGAGTACTTTCTCACTAACTCCCTTCTGGGGAGGAGCGGCATGAGAAACACAAAGGTCACACCCCCACAGATCTTCCACCCAGCCTTTCTAGCTGGCTCCCACCTTTGATACAGGGCACTTAGTCCCATTCATACTACAGCTCTTCTCCTCAGGCTCACAGCCCGTTGCAGCCCTCCAAGCTGTGGCTTCTCCCCCAGCAGCAGCCCACTCCTGCAAATCCCCAGGGAAGGTTTGTTCCTCAACAGGCTCTTGTTGCCTGTAGGTCTCGCTCAGGCATTCTGCCTGGGAGCACGGAAGGGTTGTTAGCAACTTGCCTCTTCCCGCAGACTCTCTGATCTCTCTCTCTGAGCGCTTTCAGCAGGCAGAGGGTGTTTGTAGGCTGCCACGGGGAAAGCCAGACATTTAAGGGAGAGCAGAGTTCAGCTTCACCTGTGACTAGATTCAAAGGAAGCAGCTGCACCAGCAAGTTCTGGGACAACATGCAAGGCAAGAGACATTTTGCAAGAGGCTAGTCAGGTGTCTCTCTTCCAGGCAAGTAGAACTATCCTCCATTCTCTCACAGGGGAGCGTGCATGGAGGACAGGAAGCAGTTTGCTGGATGTAACAAGGAAATGACTGCGTGGAACGGGTTCCAGAAAGAGTAGCACTCAGAGAGGTAGCAGATCCCTTCTATCATGAGCCTGCTATCTCCAAGTGAGTCAGTGCTAAAACCTCTGGAAGCAGAGCCTGATGGGACATCTGCCTCATTTGCATCCTGTTTTACGGGTACCGTTAGTGGTGATGGTCAGGGTAACACAGAAACCGGGTACCTGTGTTTTAAACAGAAACAATAAATCAAAGCAATACATTCTGATTAGGCAAAAAGGCCTGATACTCCAACATGCCAATCCAAACTAGAATTTCAGATATTTGTTTTTTTCTCCTCTGTGTCGCCACTGGCATGTGTGTGTCCCTTTCCATCAGAGTCAGAACAAATTCAGTGAGTTGCTGGGTGCATTTAGAAAACACATCCATGGTCTATGTGCCTAATAGTGCCAAGCTATTTTACTGAGAGAGAAAAGGGTTATCAGCTTTGAACAGGATCTTTTATTCTGTTAGCTTCTAATTAAATCAATCAGAAATAGAACGATCCCTGCTGCCGAAGAAAAATCTTATACTGACTCTCCTTATAATAGACATTGGAAAGTCTCACACAGTATAAGCAACCTTTGGTGTGCATCCCTGTAATTTGTTAGGTCAGCCCAGAGCAGTTAAGAATATAGTCAGCCGCTTTCGTTTAACCTCTGAGTTTATAACTAAATATATACTATGAAAAATACCACAGCAGCACAATGTTTTGTACTGGACAGTAAACAAGAGATTTCATTAAGGAAAGACCCCAAAACAAGATGAAATAGGAAAGGTGTTTATTTCTCTGTGGGTTCTGATCTCACATCCATTTTGTGTCAGTTTAATTCTATTCCTTTTCATGGCATTCTCCCTTATTTACACCTGCATAAATGAGAGTTCAGAGGCAATTAACGGAGATTTTAGTGTTATCCTTTTGGAGGATTATACCGTAAGGAAGCTGGGAAATTCCCCCAAAAGTACAAGGCTCTGTATCCAGTTCTGTACAACGCTAACTCTCTTTCACTGAATAACAGTTTTTTTCCCCTGAGCAAATCCCTCCATATCTCCTATTTGAGCTTTGAAGGTCAAACCCTCCACTTTTTTCTTTCTTGTCAGCCCTGCATTGAATAAGAAAGAAATCTCTAAATAATCTAAGATTCCTATTTCCCCAACTGAGCAACAAAATTTCTTCCCTCTCTGATTTTTATTTGGAGTTTCAGGGAAATATTGGCTTTACCTGTTCCCTAATAGGAAATTCCAGTGTTTCTCAATAAAAGCACAAATATCTTCTTTCCATCTGAAGTATCCTTGGCGGCCAGTTCCTTCCAATGACAGGTTGTACATCGCCAGCATGACAACCTGAAGCACAGAAGGGAAGGATTCAAATGACCCATTACCATTTTGTCTGTTGGGAAAACATCCCCTCCACTCTTTTACTTAATGATTGTTTCTAACTGATTGCCAACCACACAGCTAATCTACGTACCCCATGATCTTATTTTTTCTTGTCCTTCCTTCCTTCCTTCCTTCCTATTGCTTATCATACTCACTTGCTTTACTCACCCAGGGACTGTCTCATGCCAGGGGAATTCTCAGCTATCTGGTGATGTTGTTTTACAGACCTTTTGCACAGCTTGAGTGGCATAAAGGAGCTATGTCAAGGTTGAGGATTCAGATCAATGTATCTAGGAACAGGTCGTCTTTTTTCTCCAGAAAAGATGGGTAGCAGATGCTCCAGTTTGCTAATCTTGTAGAAACTTGCACAAGGAAAGACTCTTCGGGTGTTTTTATTTGCTTACTGTCTACTTTCCACTTAGAATCCAGTAAAAGCAGAGCAATCCGTAATTGTGGTATCTCATGAATTCCTTTGTTTTTGCTTTGTCTTTTTTGAACACAGTCCAGTTAGAGTCCATTTACATACATCACAAACAAACTCAATTGACTAGCTAAATGACTAAATTAAAGCACAGTTCTGGAAATCAGTCTTGTTTGTGACTAAATGTAAAAGGACAAACTGTCAATTACACTGAACCATTTCAGCCTGGAATACAAATAGCAATGGTGCAGATGGGTTTGGAGCTCCT